ACTTTTCACTCATTGTTGGGGCAAAATACTTGGCACCCAAAATTAAGGAAGGAAGGAAGGGTTTATTTAGTTCACAGTTTGTGGAGGTTTCAGTCCATAATCAGCTGGCTCCAAGGTGGGGTGGTACATGGCAGAGAGCAGCTGTTCATGGTGGCAAAAAAATAGCAAAGCAGTAAGAGCAAAAAGGGAAGGGACTGTCAGATAGCTCAGCCAACTAAAGTGCCTGCTTGGTCACGCACAGGGACAGGGGTTTGATCCCCAGCATGCTGCCATGCCTGCCCCGCCCTGGAGGTGAGCTGAGATGGTGAATGAGACTGAGCTGGTAGTACATGCCTGTAATCCCAGCACTTGGGAGGCTGAAAACAGGAGGATCACTATGAGTCCAATCTGTGTAGTGAGATGCTATACTAAATACAATTTTAAAAAATAGGAAGAGCAGTGACAGCAACAGCAGAGGCAGAGTGCAAGCCTTTGTACCTTCCTTTTACTGGATCTAGGCTATCTGCCTCAAGGTGTGTGTAGCACACATACCCATAATCCCAGAATTTGATCATTAATTAATCACAACCTGTAGAAGTCTGCCCCATGACTGCATGAGGCATTGTGGGAACACCTAGACACAAACCATAACATTCTGTCCCTGGACCCTCAAAGACTCACATACCTCCCTTTATGCAAAAGGCATTTTAGTCCATCTGTAAAAGTTACCAAAGTCCTAACAGTTTCAGAATTTCTGAAAAGTCCAAGTCTCAAGTCTCCTCCAAGATCCAAAGCAAATTCTTAACTGTGAGCCCCTGTACAAATTAAAAGTTAAACACTTCAACATTCAATGGCACAAGATAAACATTACTATTCCAAAAGGTACAAACAGCAGGATGCAAAGCACTGAGATCAAAGCCGAGTCCAAAATCCAGTGGGGCAAGCATTAAGTCCTATAGTTCCATGTAGAACATTCAAGGCAATCTGTGATAATTGTGAGTCCCAGGGCCTTATGTGGTTCCACCCCTATGGCACTTGTGGGAGCTGAAGCTCTGTGGCCTATTAGGTCTGCTTCACTTCCTCCTTGCAACTTTCCTTAGATGTTCCAAGTTCTTGGCTTTTGCAAACTTCTGAGGTCTCCACTGCACTTCAGGCTTCTTACTCACAGTTTCACACACTGCCCTCCCAGGGGCACATTGCCTAGCCTCCTAGACCTTTTTCTGAAATTTAGGTGGAAACCCTCTTAATCTCAGAACTCTTGCATTCTCCATGCACCTAAAACCAGTGTCCCATGGATGATGCCACAGTCCACTGCCAAATGGAGCAGTACCCAGGTTTTCTTCTCTCTTGGCTGCAGGGGTCAAGTGTTTGGATTTCTGAGAACTCTGAACTTGATTCTGAGGAACAAATTCTCTATACCACCACCATTCTGGAACCTGGTCTGGCCGCCCCTGCTGCTATTTTGGAACATGGTGCTCTGTGGCTTTCTCCTCCAAACAAAATCTTTCACTTTTGCACTCTTATGGCTGCAAAGGGAAGAGATTTGCTATGTTTTGTGACGCTTTCAGGAAATTTGCTTTATTTTCCTACTCCTTCTCAGCAATGGACATCTCAGCTCTATCTTTGCAGTCCACAGCTTTATTAAAGCTTCCTTTCTGACCAAACCCACAACATTTAAAATCATCCCAGTGGGCTCTTTGCTCTTGATTCTCCACATAAATCTGAATAAAAGCCCTTAACTGTTGTATGTTACAGGTCGGTGCCGAAAGAAATGATGAAAAGACCTGATGAATGTAGCTTCAGAGGTCTCACTGAGATTAGTCTCCCTCCAAGTGAGCGCAAAGCCTCAGAAGCATCTCACATTTATTGAGGGGTAAAGGCAGACTAAGGAATGTGCATAATTACTTAAGTGAATACAAACTACTATCTCTATTGACTTCCACCATTTGCCTAACACTAGGCTCACACAAATGCTAGCCAATAACATCCCAAGCAAGGGATCAAAGGACAGGGCTCCTGCAGGAGAAGCTATTATCTGCTGCCTTGGGTCCCAGCTTGCTGGGAATTTGCAAACAGACAACAACCCTCCTCGAACTCAGTCCAGTGTTCCCTGCTCTGTTGGGACATTGGGCTTTTGTCTCAAATCTGTATTTCTACACTTAACAATACCCATACCACTACCTTGAAATTTCTTTTGCCTGATTAACCAGTCCACCACCTTTAATCTTAGTCCCAGGCAAAGACTCTGGACATAAGAATGCAGACAAACTTTCTGCCAAGCCATAATTCACATCATCTGCAGTCTAAATGCCAATGCAGTCCTTCCCAGCAGAAATCTCCCCAGCCTAGTCTTTATAGGAAGGATTTCTATCAGCATTCTGGTCTTCTGAGCTCTAACTAGAATCTTCCACACAGAACAGCTGAAGACGTTCCAATGCTTCCCTGTCAGGTGACATTTCCGACCTTCCTATCTCTTTCAGACCTTTCCTATCTCTTCCCATAAGCCACTCCGAAAGGCTCTTGAACCACATGGTCAGCAACAGCTCCACTTTTTATTACCAAATTCTGTCTTGGTTACTTTTCACGCATTACTGGGACAAAATACCTGACATCCAAAATTAAGGAAAGAAAGGCTTATTTAGCTCACAGTTTATGGAGCTTTCAGTGCATAATCAGCTGGCTCCAAGACAGGGTGCCACATGACAGAGGGCAGCTGTTCATGGTGGCAGAAAATAGCAAAACAGCAAGAGCAGAAAGGGAAGAGCAGTGGCAGCAGACACAGCAGAGGCAGAGAGCAAGCCTCTCTACCTTCCTTATACTGCATCCAGGCTATCTGCCTCAGGATACTCCCATATTCCCAGCAGCACTATTGAATCATGAATCAATCACAACCTCTAGAAGTCTGCCCAATGACCGCATGAGGCTTTGGGGGGACAATAAGATAAAAACCGTAACAGTATTCATGAGCTACAGTTTTCCTACACATTCACACAGCTGCACATTCAGTATGTTCTGGAATTTTCCTATGGTTCAGAAAACACTGACAATTTTTTGCATCTATAAATTTTGAATGAACAATTTCCATCCTTTTGTAGTCCCTCACATATAGTGTGCTAGCTCAAAGAGCACTGGTACTTTTGACTTGAACAGTATTAGTAAACTAACTACTTGGAACTTCTTTTGTTGACAAACATCCAAACTACATATCAGGTGTGAAAAATTACATGCATTATTTAGGTTAGTCTTCATTGATTTTTCAGACATTGTAACTAGGAAAGATCATAAAAATGATTGAATATGGCTGTCTTTTTATAAGTGGGAATCTTCAGCACAGAGAACTTTGTCCTCCTACTGCAGCAGCAAAAAACACTGAAACCATACCCAGGATTTGGAGGCAGATTTATTTACGTAGGCAGGTACTGATTAGGATCATTTCCAGAATGTCGGCCCCGATCTCTGGTAGTCTAGGGCTTATATTGGATAAGCAAGCAGGAAATATAGCAGCAAGAGTGGCTTGTCAGTTGGGGGTTTATACATAATGTGCATCACAGTGACCAGCAGAAGAAAATTCAAGGCGGTAGAATATTGAGGCAGTTGCATGGCTATTGATTCAGGCCAGCAACTTCTGGAACAGGAAGTAGTACCTGGGCAGTTAACACACTAAGGTATACTGGCTGGGGGTGGGCATTTTCTGCTCCACTATGTCAGACAGTTAGTAAAAACAGCCCAGTGCCTCTTTTGTACAAAAAGATAGTAATTATTGTAAAGTTCATATTATGTTATTTTTTTTTTTTTTACAGAGAATACACCAAGAATAAATAACTGGCATATTATTACACAATACTACATTACCATCAGTGCTGAAATTTACACTTGTGACCCTCTGTTATATAACCCTATATATCACTGCCATTTTGTTCACAATTTTTTCCTGCATGAATATTTTATATCCCTAGAGTGTGGCTTTTTTTGGTGGGCATAAATTCTTGACAACTCTTATTTTAATGTTTCTCATGGACTTTAATAAATCCTTGACATATATAAACTGCTTAACAATTAGAAAGATATACATACACACATATATATAGACTCATATATTTTACATATTTACATAAATATTCACATCCACAGAGAGTTATTTGTATTTATTGTGAGCGCTAAGGAGAAAATGGTCTCACTTTTTAACAATATTTGAGGCTGTCCCTGAGGGTTGATGAAAACTAAAATAGAAATTAGAGGGAATAATGAGGGTGTTGACTAAAACTCAAGGACGTATGGCAGCATACGCAAGTGAAATTGCTTAATACGAACAGCAGAGTACACGCCTGTGATCACAGCCCTCGGGGAGGTTGAGGTGGCCATAATGCTGGAGTCTACGAGTTCAAGACCAGCCTGGGCACCCTAGTGAGACTGCCCACCTAAGAAAACGCAGTAATAACTAATAATGACCACGCACATACTAAGCACCAGATACACAGCTACTAACACTCTCCTTGTGTTAAACTATACTGCATAACTCTAGATAATTTCGCATTTGTAGAAGATGAAACTAAAGATCTAAGGAGGTGGTGCATCACTTCCAGCAGCTTGTCAGTGGTGAAGTCATAACTCAAACACCGACTGCTTTCAAGGTTAGGCTAATCGGGGCCGGGAGATGGCTCAGTGGAATAAGCACTTCCCTGGCAAGTGCAGGGGCGTGAGTTCGACCACTGGTTCTGCAAGAAAAAAAGAAAGAATGTCTGGAAGACAAGGTCGGTTTCTCCCGCGCAAAGCCAGGTACTGTTCGTTAGCATCCCGCTGCGCGCCGCACTTCCGGAGCAAGCAGGGCGGCCGCCGCATAGCTCTGCCAGCTGCCAGGCGCACGAGGACGGCGGGGCGGGGGCTCGCACACCACGCTCTGAAGCAAGGACCCAGGCGGCGCAGACGCGCGGAAAGGACCAGCGCAGGCGCAGGCTGTCGGGCCTGAGGGCGGGCAGAGGAACGAGAGCGGCGCTGCTATAGCCCCCGCGCCCCCGCGCCACACCCATCGCCCCCGCGCCGCACCGAGCGGTCGGAGCCGCGAAGCCGGCGCGCCTGCGCACTCAGGGCCGCCCCTCCCGCGCGCGCCAGGCGGGCCGTTGCTTAGCAACGCGCACGTCACAAAGGCTGGGCTCCCTGGCCTCTACGCGGAGAGAGCCGGTCTGGCCGGTCTCGCGAGACTCCAGGGCTTTCACGTGTCAGGCCCAAGGGCTCATGGAGGCCGCGGAGGAAAAGCCGCAGTAAGTGCTGGGCTGTGTCCAGGGGAGGATGAGGCGAGACTCGCGCGAGGCTGCGGCCGACCCACGTCCAGACCGCTCAGTCCGCTGCCCTGAATCATTTGCGGCGCGCTGTTGGCCGAGCACGCGCTGTGCGTGCGACGGGGACTGCGCGCGCCGCCCGGCCGCGGCCTTCGAAGCGTCGTGGCGCCGTGCGCTCCGCGAAGTGCGCTTCCGCGCCGTGCTGCGCTTCGGCCATCCAGGCCCTGCCGCTGTGGCCTCCGCTGCGCCCCGCCGGGTCCCGAGGACGCCGGACGCGCCACCCGGCCTCGGCTTGCGGGCGGCTCCTCGGCAGCGTCGTGACCTCAGGGCCCGGTCTCGGCGACGGCGGCGGCGCGGTCGAAGCCGGCCTCCTGCGCGCAGCCCCGGGGGGCCCGGCCGTTCTGGTGGAACGCACCGCGGGGCTCTGTCCTTGAATGTCCACTTCGTGCTCTGCTCGCCAGCACGCCTTGCAGTTAGTCTGCACCCGGCCTGGAAGCGGAACCCTCCACCTCCACGTGCACTCCTGTAATCCAAATCCTGCTTTGTTGCCCTAGCACTTTACACCACCTAACAGATGCTATTCTACTTGTTAATTTTCATGTTGTTACCCTAGAATGTAGGTTCTGTGCGGGTGGGACTTTTTGTTTTGTCGCCTCAGTGCCTCAAGCAGCACTGGCGTAGAATGAGTATCTGTTGAAAGGGTGAATTATCCAGTGCCAGTCTTACATCTCTCACAGTAGCTATTGTTGTTGTGTAAACAACGGAACTGAGGCTGATAATAAATGGGAGTGTTAGGATTCCAATCCAGGGCTAAGTAATTTCAGAGTCCATTGGTGTGTTTATCAGTATTTCGACAAAGAGGTGACTCCAGTCACATATTTCACATGTATGAACTATCTATAGCCATCAACACCACAGTACTTAATCCAATGAGTACATAACTACAAGCAAATAGTCATAATCCTGCCCTTCAGAGACATGATTCTAGTGTATATGTATTGCTGGATTACAGCTATGAGAGAAACAGATGCCAGGAGGCCACAGTGATAAGTCAATTGATCTGAAAATTACAACCAATAAACAAGTACTAAAGTCTCTGGAAACAGAAAAGCTTGGAAAGGGCGGGCCAGATAGCTCAGAGGACTAAAGCACCTGCTTTGCCAGGCTCACTGACCGGGGTTCAGTCCCCAGTGTGCCTTGTCCGATCGCTAGGCGTCCAATCTGTGTAGTTAGACCCTGTATTAAATACATTTTTTAAAAAATCTCGTAGGTTATTTACACTTTATCAGTAATGAGAACGATTTGTGTGGGGAAGCAGGAAACCAAAATCACACCAATTGTGAATGTTATCAGAATGTGTAGAGGTTACAGTATACAGTCAGAACAGAGCCAGAGTAAGAAAAACAATTCTGGCAAATCCAGCAGAAATGTATCAGCATTCTGGAGGCATATACTTACCTGGGTATTGGTGAGTACTGATGAGCGAAACAACCTCCACGTCACAAAACCTAGCGACTGGCAAGGGTGTATCTGTTGCTTACCAAAAGCAAGCAAACAAAGCTATGTACGCACACTTTGAATTGTGGCATCATGAAGGGAACAGACAATACGTGGGGTGGGAGTAAAATCTAGGAAAAGCTTCTGGGGCAGTGGCTTTTGAACTGAGGCCTAAATGATAATGAGCAAGCTTCCCCGGGAGCTGAGGAAGAGCCTCCAGACGTGGAACCGCATGTGCAGTACTGGAGGAGGAAAGGACTGAAGCCTGGCCGGAGGCTGGACTGAGGCCGAGCAGGTGGCTACAGCAGGCCGCCCTGGAACACACGGAGGCAGGTTTTCCTGTAGATGCATTTAAGAGTTTCACTCTGAAGTTAGACAGGATTATGCTTTGAAGGCTATGTGTAGGGCTGGACACAGCTATTTGTTTTCTCTGTAGACTCGGATCTTACAGTCACCTTTTGTGGGATCAGGGCTTCAATGTGTGAATGCTTCAATGTAAACAGTATTTAAATTAATATATTTGTTATTTTCAAGTGTCTGAAATTTTAAGATGTTGCCTTTTATAATGTGTTTGCCCTTCTTTGAAGGGAAACAATTTCCATAAACTATTTCTTGAATACTTTCTCATCTATTTTGTTTTGTGCTTTTTTGTTTTTTATTTTGTTGAACCCTTTGCCCAGAGCTTCTTCTTGACCCTTTTTCAATTTTTTGTGCTGACATAGGGTCTCCCTAAGTTGTTAAGTTGCCCAGGGGACTACCAAGCCCAGCTATTTTCATTTTTATAGCAATGTAGTCATTAGAAGCAAAAAGTGATTAGATTGAGTTAATTTTTCCTGCACAGTGATCTTTTCCTAAAAGGATAAGTATTAGTGGTCAATAGATAGCTTTTATAAATTTGGCAGGTCAGTTTTAAAAAATCAAGTAGTTATAGGTACTTGACGGCTGAATTTAATAGGTAAAGGGGGAACAGGTATCTTTTTGCAATATAACTTTTAAGAAAGATGTATTCAGATTAGCATATAATTTAACTATACGTATAAATGCAAACATGATTAGTAAGCATAATCAAATACCATTCTTTACTATAAGCAAATGGTAGTCTATATCAATTACATAATAATAATCATTACTAACAAATTTCTTCCTATCTTAAACGATATAGAATGGGAAGATACCATCTCAAAGTTTAATAGCACAAGCCTATCAACAATAAACCTAAATTGTTTTGACTTATGGTTAGAATATATTTAAATCTCATTTTTAAAAATTATGACTGTACTGAAATGCTCATTGGGGTAAATGATTTACTATTTAATTTTGTTTTTCAGACAGCATAAAATAGAAGATGCTGGTGTAGTATATGTAACTGAAAAAAATGAAGAAATCAAACATGAAAAAAATCCTGGAAATAGCATACAGCCTTCAAAACCATATGTGAGGAGAGGACCTGGAAATTATGCTAAATTCATTAACACAAATGCAAGAACGTACAACGAACCAGTTCCCTACATAGATCCCAGAAAGGGGCCAGAGGAGCAGGTCGGACAGATGTGTATCGTGTACAAACACAGGTTGAGTCTGGAAGCTGCCTTGTAGAGCAGTTTAATAACAAAGTATTTAAAGGGTGTGATGAATTCACAGTAGCCCTGGGTGTAATCCAGCAGTTAAAAGCAGTAACCTGACCCTGTTGTTCTGCCAGTCACACAAGTAATGTGCATAGGGAAGAAATCCAAACAAACATTTTTCTGAATTTGATCAGGTTTTAGACATTAAGTAATGCTTGAAGGTTAGTGAAGAAACTTATATATTCTTTATGACATATTCTAGTATAAAAATTTACTATGATGTTTAGTGATTCAGATGCTTTCTATAAAATAATTGCCATTCTTTGAAAGCATATAAAGTGCTAGCAAGCCAGACGCCATGATGCGTGCCTGTAGTCCCAGCAGCCAGGAAGACCCCATCTCAAAAACAAAACAAAACAAAACAAAAAAACAGCTAAGAATGAACTGATTTGTTATATAAGTTACTGTCAATCCATTTATTTTCTAAAATTTCTATCCTTTTATTTCACATTTCTATGTAAATTACTGTATATCCTTTCATATCTATAATTTTCTATTGGAAGTAGATTACAGGTGATAACACGTATACCAGTGATAGCCCATGTCTGAGATTACACAGTAAGCAAATGCTACTGTCTTGGCTCAGCCCCAGGACGCTGGCCTGGCCGCAAACCTGTTACTCCCTTTGCACCCTGGATCTGCTCCACTGCCTTTCCGAAGGCAGGTCTGTTGGGATAGGGTCTGCTGTATTAGTTTCCTATCACTGCCATTACAACTTACACAAACACTGACTTAGAGCCACACAGACTTAGTTTCTTAGCAGTCCTTGAGTTCAAAAGTCCAAAGTTAGCCTCCTAGGGTATTGCTAGGGCAGGTTCTTGGTCTCCGGCTCAGTGGTATATCTGTCTCTTTGCCTTTTCCATCATCTTTGAGACTCTGACTGTGTTGTTTGGCGCATTGTATTTTCCTCTTTAAACCTGCAGCATATGGGTAGCATTTTCTGATATATTCCTGAATGACTCATCTGCCTCTTCCTTATGTAGACCTCATGATTACATTGGATCTAGCCAAATAATCCAAGATAACCTCTCCATCTCAAGATACTGAATCACATCTTGTCTTAAGTCACTTTCCTGGTTGCTAGCACACAGTACCTGACACCCATGCCTTAAAGGAGAGGTTTATGTTGGCTTGTGTTTTTAGCCCGTAACTGGCTGACTCAAAACAGAAAGGCGTGGTGATGGGTCTGGCAGAGGAAATCTGTGCATGTCATGCAGCCAGGAAGCAGCGAGCAAAGTGGGAGGCAGGGAGATACACCCTTCCTGACCATACCCACGTGACCACTCTTCTGCCCAGACCCCACCTCTTAAGGCCAGCTGGTAGCACCCGTAGCCCAGTCGCCGTCCACAAACTTTGCCTCAAAGTGCAGGAGGTTTTAGGGGACTTCCAGATATAAACTAGAACATATCTTTAAGGTCCCTTTGCCAGGAAAAAAAACATTCACATGTTTAGAGATAAAGACACAAACATCTCTGTGGATGGGAGAGCATTTTTCAGCCTGCCTCATTTATACAGTAAAACTTGCCTGTTGTGTTGTACACTTCTGGGTGCTCTGGCAGAGGAATAGCCATGTACTCCTTCATGCCCATCCGTAGTCCCCTCCCCTGCTGAAGCCCAGGAACTACTGATAGGTTTTCTGTTATTTTGCCTTTTTCAGGAAGACATACAAGGGAATTATTGAGCATGTAGCTTTTTTGGTCCTCTCAGAATAATGCCTTTACAGTATCTCTATATTGGTTGGTTATTTTTGATGGAACCAGGGATTGAACTCAGGCCCTTATGCTTGCCAGGGAAGCACTTATTCTACTGAACCATCTCCCTGGCCCCTGCTCTATATTGTTGCATATATCACTTATTCATTTTTTGTTGTTACTGCACACTATCCACGTGGCACGAAATTTGCTCTAAGATTATTTAACATAATAAGGATAGTAATCTTCACTGGGGTTTTATGAAGATTAAAATATTCTTTGTCAGGCCTTGTTCTAAGTACTAGAAATATGGCAATAAACAATGGAAGTAGGGTGGGGAGGTCTTGTCCTTGTATTGCTTACATTCTAGTGAGAGAATAAGCAAAATAAGTGAGCTGTGTTAGGGTGTCAAATGGCAGTAAGAGGTGGTGTGGAAGGATGAGAACTGCTGAAGGTAGAGCTGTGACTAAGCAGGTATTGGGAGGAAGCATGCCAGGAAGGTGGCATTTGGGTGATGACCTGCAGGGCAGCGTGGACTGACCTCAGAGTCCCAACAGAGGAGCATTCATGATGCACGAGGAAGCACCAAGCAGTAGCTCTCCGCAGCAGCAGACTCCCGCTAAGCTGGGTGCTAGCTGTCCTCTGCTGACAGGAAGAATCTGTGACAGGAGAGCTAGCAGAGTGCTGGTCCCAAGAGTGATTGACAGGTGGCATTCAAAATATGCCAGAGACAAGCAACATCTTATCAGGTGTCTTCCAGCATGACATCTGAGGAAAGAAAAGTGCCGTCTGAAGGCCTCCCATGGCTGTGGCAAGGTCAACCTCACCCTACCACTTCCCTCATCTCTGCCAGTGTATGAGTTACGTGAAGTCGTGAGTTAGCCCAATACTTGAATGGAAATTGCTTGCGTATGAGTTACGTGAAGTCATGAGTTAGCCCAATACTTGAATGGAAATTGCTTTTTGTGAACTCTCCACACTGACAGCGTCAGCTGTTCTTGTCATAAAACAGCACACTCTCGCACGGTGCAAATATGAGATCTCATGATTGAATGTGTTTGATATCATGTAGTAAACCCTGGAAAATGTGGTTTTTTTGTTTTAAGTGTAAAGCATGACATATATCTGAAATGTATCTAGGGTGAGCAGGAAATAAAGATCAATGAGAGTAGATTTAAATTACAGCTTTTAGAGCTCCTAGAATAAAAAAAGTAACATAACTGACCAAACATGAAGTATAGGAAAAATAAAAATGGAAAGTTACATATTTCATTTGACTTCTTTCAGGTGCATAATACCTAATGTTAATTTTTAAAAAAAATTTTATTCATTTTAATGAGAAAAGATAAAATAGCAATGAAACAATTTCAAACCAGGTTAGTAGGATAGTCA